GAAATGTCCGCCATCTTCAATTTTTTGTAGATATGCATATCACGTCACAACAGGAGTCACGCGATATTTTTATCTAGACAACCACTAATCATTTTGCACTGAAAACTATACTCTGTCTGCCCTTTGAAATATCAAGATCACTCAAAACCTTTAAAACATCTACCAATCAATATTTGGTTAGCAACGAATACTTTTATGTGGTTGATCCCTGTTGTGACAGGAAGATGTTATTTCGCAGGCCTCAGAATGACAAATCATAACAAAGCAACGGTTTTACTAAAACTAACACTAATGCATGAGTCAATTCCAGGAGTACCACCCCCCACCCCCCCCCGGAACACACCCGGGCGTTTGATTTGATTGGTTATGATAGTGTAAATGCCCGGGTGCCGGGACACAACTTGAAGACTAATGCACGGCCTTTGGGCAAGCTGAGAGTGGAAAATGCCCCACCCTGGGGACGATTTTACAGTCGATTTCACGAAACTTTGACGTTCCGAACTTCGTTGCGAAGTTCGCAAGTTCGTTGCGAAGTTCGGAAGCTCATATTGGAATTCACAAGCCAATTTGTAAACAAAGTCACTGCCTGATTGGTCCGTGAAGTAAAAGAAGTCAATCAAATGCGTAGCTTACGAACTGGTTTGTGAATCTCATTATGAACTTTTGAACTTCGCAACAATCTTGTGAACTTCGCAACGAAATTCGGAAAATTTGGGGTCAAAGTTTCGTGAAATCGACTGTAAACGTTAATCAAACTTTTAATGGCATATAATCATAGTCATTTAATAACATTATAGTATTAAACTGCTATGGAATATTATAAAACATAAACCTTTAATAGTTGTATTTAAATTTGCATGGCACAAGGTATAATTTTCGCTTATTCTTACAATAAATTTCACGCCACCTTGACCACGAGGGCGCAAAATACGATCGGCGCGCCCACATCAGTGGCCCACATGCGTGCCTGAAACTAGGTTTTGCTGCCTTAAAATTTGTGGGTGGGATTCTGGGCAACCATTTGTCAAATCCCCGGGGTCCTCCAACAACCGGCCCCCGTGCACATATATTAAAAGGCAAATTCCCGACCCCCGTGAACTGTCTATCGGGCAAATTCCCGGGGGGGGGATGGTTACTCCAGGAATTGACTCATGCATAACCCTATTCCAAACACCAACTCTAACCCTAATCCTTGAGTACAAACTTGAAGTAGGACCAACTCTAACACCAACTATAACACTAATCCTTGAGTACAAACTTGGACCTAACCCTAACCTAACCCTACTCCAAGTTTGTTTCTAAACCAATGAAAAAATTTTGACGAAATGTCATTCTGAGGTCAGCGAAATAACTTCTTCCGTTGTGACGTCACCAAAACTACCGTTAATGAGACCAAAAATGTATCCAAGATGGCGGACATTTCATTACTTCAAGTGAAAATATTTCAAGAACTAAGCAAGATATGAACAATCGGTAAAATAAGTTAATATATAGTTACAAATGAGAAAATAAATGAGAAATCTTTCAAATGAGAAAATAAAAATTTTATATTGACATTTTCCTTTAAGTTCCCTCCTCCTCCGGAATTTGTTTTAACAGGTTGACAGTCTGACACCAGCTCACTGCGAGTGATGCATGAGCACTTTCATCCAATCACAATGCTAAACAGTTCATTTTAATTAGATGCAAGCACTCGCAGGGAGCTGCGAGGAGCTTGGTGCGAGGACTGGAAAACCGCCTTAATTGGTGTGGAAGGCTTGAATGATGCGGGACGTTCCTACCTGCACCCTCCATTTCAAGACCAAGTGCGTCTCGGAAATAATTCAGTAACTCGTGTCGTCTTTCACGATTATTAACTAAATCCGAGCCACTTAACATCACAGCGTCATGGTGAACTTCAACGTCTAAACTTTTCGGGTCTTTTAACGGTGGTTTCCAACCATGAGCTGCATTGAGGATAAGACGAGCCATATTTTTACTGACGTTCGATTTAGTCCCGCGATACTCAACTGTACCATCTGCCTTGAATTTCTTATGATCATAAGTCGCCAGTTTGGCAGAAATCACGACATCGCCAAGTTTTGCCTTCGCCCGTTCCATGCTTGCACAGATCCCGACAAAGAGGACTACTTTTGGGTTTAAACTTTCAGCGGCATTTCTCACTGCTATCAGAGCCTCAGTCGGTCCCTGCCGACATTTCATCAATGCAACTCTCACATTCGGGTTATTCTGATCACCAAATCGACCAAAATCTACCATTCCCAGTTTCGTAGAATAACCTCGTTGAACATGTTTCATATATGAATAGCAAGCATTGAATTCATGATCATTTGCTGTTATTAGAAGAATATCTGTTGGTAGTTGTGACTGAATCTCATTGCTTGAACAGTCATATGGTTCACTATCAAAATCTCTCGCTGTCGGGAGTGTGATATTGAGTTCTGGTGGTGGTGCTATACGATCATTGCCTTCACAAAACATGATGATACAAATTACAAAGGCAACTCGTTGTACAAAGTTTTAATACAACTAACAACGACGATTCATCGTTGTATTCTTGGATTGCAAGTGACGTCACTTGGGGGGCGGGGGGGTCAAGAAATTTATTTAAAGATACACACGTAAAAATCTCACATCTTGTAACAAGTCTGCCAACAAGCCGTCAACAAGTTTGGAACAACTTGTTGACAACTTGTAACAACCGTGTCGAAATTATCAGACTTGTCCGTTACATGCTTGATATAACAAGATTGTTACAACCTTGTGTTGACAACCTTGTAACATCCTTGTTGTATCATGGCTATAACAAACTTGTTAGTACAGTCTTGTAACAAGGCTGATAATGCCATCAAGCTTGTTACAAGTTGTTAACAGCTTGTTTCAAACTTGTTACAACAAACTGGGAACAAGCAGTGTGAACACAACTTGTTGACAGCTTGTGAACAGACTTGTAACAACTTGTTTGCAGTCTTGTTACAAGCTGTGCGTTTTTACGCGTGTATATACAGAATTATTGTTATAAAGAAATCATCGTTTATCATTTTTTGTTTGTTTTATTGTTCTTCTAGATTATTACAAAATTAAATAAGTTTTGTCTGACGTTTCGGTTTCCTATACGAAAACCATTAAACGTTCAAGTGTTCGAAAATGGTTTTCTTATAGGAAACCGAAACGTCAGACAAAACTTATTTAATTTTGTAATAATCTAGAAGAACAATAAAACAAACAAAAAATGAATGAACCTGGATTCAAACCTTTTAACGAATCGTTTATCATGTTAACTATTATTAAACTTTTCAAAAAACCTTTGCATTCTCGTACACAGAGTGCTCGTTTTGAATCCAGTTTTTTCTATTTCGAGTCCGGGTTTTGAAAAGTCAAGTCCGGGTTTTTTTAAACACGAGTCGGGATTTTTTCCGAGTTGGGGTCCGGGTTTTTCTCGTGTCCGAATTTTCTTAGAGTCCGGGTTTCGAAGTATGCTCTGTGTCAGGGATAAAGGACGGCTTTTATATTGGCTTTTTGGCACACCTATTCTTGCAGGTTTTTGACCGAGTGAGTTATGTATGGTCGACAATGCGGACAATCTCCATTTTTGGATGTCGGATGTCTCATGACTCAAACTCGCAAACATCTCAATTCGGTACTCTCCAAATCGGTCCTATTAAATACTGCCTGGAGCGTCCGGGAGCGCGTGAGAAAGCCCGGAGATATACAAGATAGTATAATACTATTTATTAGGATGTTAGGGTTTGTAATCCAAGTGAGAATATATATATTTTAAGACCTAACCAGGAACGACTGCGAAAAATGCAGCACAAGGTCCTCTGGTAGGAATCGAACCTATGGCCCTGCGATCCCGGAGCAGCGCTCTAATCAACTGAGCTACAGAGTACAGCGCTCTAACCAACTGAGTTACATGTATATATAGTACTATAATACTATTTTTCATTAATATAATGCCTCATAGAGACTCAAAAAGGATCGTGCACTGATTTATGCTATCTTGTATATCCCCGGGCGTTCTCACGCGCGTTCTCCCTTTATAATATACTATTTTTCATTAATATAATAATAATATAATAATAATAGTGGGTTTATTAATACACGTTCAATAGCAAAAAGCTAAATTACAACGTGTTTACATCGTCAGATATTAGAATTAATTAAAATTATTACTTATTTAAAACTATTTACATCAATGGACCTAAAATCGTTTATATATATATATGGAATTGTATAAATATGTATATAAATCTTACTTATCTAATTTAAAATTATATTCATTAATAGCATGAACTACAGGGCTGTTTCTAAAACGTTCAGTGTTGCAAAAAAAGTTATAAATCTTTTCGCCATTTGTCCTAGTCTCTCTTTCCCTAATGTCACTCAGTTCTTTGGCAATAGTCTGTGAAGCCTGTGTGATGGTTGTAACATGTCCTCAATTAAGGAGGCACATAAATTGTTTCTGCGTTTTTCTAAGGTCAGCAGATTGCTCTGAGATAATAGAAGTCCATAATCACAAAGGACAGGATAAATTATTCGGAGGGCTCGTTTTTGGATTCTTTCTATGTTTTTCTTATGCATTTGTGTCAGACCCCCACTCCAGATTTGTGCACCATACTCTAGAACAGAACGAATTACTGTACAATAGAAAGCTAATAGGTCATTTCTTGGTGCACCATAACTCTTTAAAATCTTCAAGAGATAAAGTCGCTTAGCGCCTTCTTTTACAATGTACTAAGTGTTGGTTTTCCATCTCATGTCATCGTCTATCCATATTCCTAACAATTTATACGACTTTACACGGGATATTTTATCGTCGCCAATTTTAATCAGTGGTATTTCTGTTTTCTTCTTCCGAAAATCAATTAGCATTTCTTTACATTTTTTCCCATTCAGTTCCATACTCTCATCTCATCCTTTGCAAATTGCACTACGCTATTTACACTTCGTTGGGTGTTACCAATTGGGCTACCAGATGAATGTTGAGTTATGGTAATGACTTCGGACAATGTACTATCATCAACGAACATAGCTATATCTTGATCATCAGATGCTTCACATATCAGTTCCTGCTCATTAGGTATAGCGACTTGTAGGAGATGGTTAATTTTCAGGATAAATGCTATTGGACCCAGCTTTCTACCCTGTGGGACTCCACCCCTGATCTTTCGCAGGTCTGATTGCTCACCTTGAAATGATGTAAATTGCGATCTGCCATG